ATGTGTGTTTTAAATAAATTATTCACGAGAACAAGAAGTGATGTTGAGCACTGATTGAAACCTAGCATTATGTGAGCAAACATTTCTGTTCTCTCTTTTTCCTTGCTGATCCCACCAATTTGTGAGATTTGTACTTACGGGATCAGAGTTACAAGCAACACAGTTAACTAGCTGCATTTTAGAATAACAAAGGTGTGATTAAGTTACATTTCAAACATAGTGTACCAGGTAGGATCAAAATTACTCCAGTGGTGTATTGCCAAAGTGGACACAATGTGGCTTGCAGGTTCCCAAGCCAACCAACCTTGTCTACCCACGGTGTATTGAACAACAATTTCTAGTTATTTCAAAAACTTATATTTTAAGGACATTTTTATTACTTTCTGTAGAATTTTTAGGGGAACTCTAACTTTGGAAAGTTTTGTGCCATTTTCTTGGAGAACGCAAGATTTGTTTTGTGTCATATTTAGTATTTTTGTTAGGTGTTTCAAGGCTCAATGTCAGATTTTGCCAGTGAGGATGCTGGAAAATGTTTCACTGTATTTTTCTGTTATGTCTGCAAAGCAAAATGCAACAAAGCATCTTCATGACTGGAGCAATAAAAACATTGACTGTTCTCTTGCCGGCCCAAAGTAACAAGCAGTCTACTGAGTGCATTTTTAAAAATAATGCTCCAAGCTCTGGGAGGATGCACAAATGCCATGGGAGGAAGGGGAATTCAGTCTACCAGTGGTATCTCTTTCAGGCTGATGGACAGGCATAGTTGAGTACAAACCCAAGTTTTATGCTCCATCTTTATCCCAATCTTTTAGGATTTCACCAGGCATTGCCTCTAGACAGTCCAAATCAGACATCTTGACTTTAAGGTGCAGAAACTTGCTTGTTTAAAATGAAATGTTATTTCCACAGTGAACTTATTTTGTATCTTCTTTTTTTCTCATCCTATCTGACTTGTTTGGGCATTTGACATGGGGTTGGTTGGGATTAGTCAAAAGGGAAATACAGGGTGGTTTTGTGTTTGTTGAGTTATATTGGCTGCTGCTGACAGGAAGTGAATACTGAGAAGAACTGAGTCACTGACTGGGGTTAGCAGCTCTGGCTATCAGTAGCTGCAGTCCCATTCAGGCATGAGTTAATGAACAGGAGCTGGTGAATAGAAAGACTAAATAAAGTGTTTTTCATGAGGCTTTAGTGTAGGGGATGGTGGTTTGAGAGGAGAGCAAGGAGTATGGCATTGCCTACCTAAAATGAAGAGACATGGGTGGTGGCGGAGCTGCAGAAAGACTAAAGTGTTTTGTATGAGGCTTTAGTGAAGGGGATGGTGGTTTGAGAGGGAAGCCAGGAGTGTGGCATTGCCTACCTAGAATGAAGAGACATGGGTGGTGGCGGAGCTGCAGCAGTGATCAGAAACATCTCTATCATGTCTGGTTTTTTTCCTGATGATATGGGAAGATAACAGCTGCAGTAAGTACCTGATTGAAGAGAAGATACAGTGGCTTGAAACTGACCTATCCACATTTTGACTCATCAGGGAAGATGAAACATTTACATTTCTGGATAGAGCAGATAAGATTCTTCTGGGAGGCCAAAAGAGGAAGGATGTCTCTAGAGAGGAGGAAACACACCAGATGGCAGAGGAAATAAATGAAATACAGTGCCGAAGCAAAATTAGCTGGTAGCATGGTGTGACTTTGGAGCTACACTGTTTATTCTAGATCCCATCCATTGACACTCATCCTGAGCCACTGGAACACAGATAGGAATTACTTCCAGGAAGAGGAGAAAATGAGTGGTGCTGATTGGTGATGCCCTCTTGAGAGAGACAGCATCCTGACGGGATGTCTCAAGAAGTGCTCTGTCATCATAAGAAAATCCAGGACATAACAGATTTTGCGAGACTCATCAAACCCTTTAACCATTTCCTCTTCTTTCTGACTCATATGGGAACAAATGATATGGCCAAATACAGGCTTCAAATTCTCTTAATATGATGAAGGACCTTGTGATACAGAATGTTATTTCACCCACGCTACCAGTTGAATGCCATGGCCCAAATGAGAAAGATTAATTCTGTGCATCCCCACATGGATGATGTCCTTGGGAAGGATTCTGATGTTTCCACCAAGAAGGACATAGGAGAAGATGGGTTGCATCTCACACGGGTTGGGAAGAATATGACTGCTGAGAGTCTCACAGACCTGACCAGGAGGGTTTAAAATTGAATTCTGCAAGGAAGGTAAATAGTGTTCCAGAGTGTGAAGGGGACAGGGTCCCAGATTCCTCTGTTGGTGTGCCATCATACTCCAACCAAGGACCTGAGACTTCCTCCCGGAGTGTTACGTGGACCTCTGCACTAACCCATCAGGGGTGGCAGCCCAGCTGACAGTGGAAGTTCACAGAGTGCAGCTACCCCATGACCTATCACTTCCTGAGAAACATGGATCCAAAATGAAGCCATGATTGTCATGTCCATCCTGGGCTTTGGAGAATGACCCCTGGAGGAGCAGCAGAAATTTGTCTGCCCATGGCAGATGACGGCTATAAAAGCTGCCTTACCACCAGGGGTGGCAGAAACCTGGCAGGAACCAAGGCAAAAGGAAGAGGGCTGTGAGACTGGAAAGGTGCAAGAACCCCAAGAGGGAAAGACAGGCACCCCAGAGTTGGAAAGGATTGCACTCAAAAGGGAGAAGCAGCTACCTCTGAGCCAGAGGAGAGACAGGTATCCTAGAGCAGGAGGGAGAACTCCAAGCCCATGGGTCCCTGGAAACTGAAGGACTAGAGGGAGAAGACCAACCACTACGGGACGAGGACTAGGGAGATGCCCAGGAAGAGTAGTCAGGCAGCTACTGGGCAGAAGAGTCTCCAGAAGAGCAAAATCCCCCAGGTGACTGGGATTATATATATAAAGAGTATCCCCAGTGAGGTGTATGGCTCCTGTTGTGAGTTCCCAAGAGAGAAGCCACCAAATATGAGTATAGACCACCCCTGTGGCCCTCCTATTGGGGAGAGAGAGGGAGAGGAGAAAGAAGGCAATCTTCCCAAAATAGATGCTGGCAGAGAAAGAGGCAGCACAACCACCAACATCAAGAGGTCAGAAGATGGACAACTTCAGAGGAAGAATCTCGACATATCTTTCCTCAGTGGTGACACCCCTTGCTTTGTGGGGGGCATATTAGGAGGAAGACATCCTGGGAGTAGGGTTGTGCCAGGCAAGTGCGCAGAGGACTCAAGGAAGAAAAGTGGGTTCCTCCAAGATACTTTGATTCGGTGAAAGAATCCAAGGACTAAAGAGAGAGAATGTGGGAATGATAAGCAGAACTAATACTCAGGATTCTAAATATAATTTGTTATTGTTACCCCAATCCAAGTTCCAGTAAAGCTACTGGCTTCAGGGGCCAAGAAGAGAAGGGGGATTCCCTGTCACTCTGGCTGGGGCTGGCGGGACTCACACAGAGAACAAGGGACGCCAAGAACAGGGGAGAGCAGGACCATGATGTGGGCCAGAAACTGAGACAATAGTTCAGGAACCTGCAGGGACCAAGAAGAAATAAAAAAGCAGGAGGTGATATAACTGATAGTCTGAGGTGTCTCTGTCTATTGCACAGACTGTGGGAAATAGGAAAAATAAACTTGAAAACTTAACACAGAAAGGCAAGTGTGATTAATAGGTTCTACTGAAATCTCATGTATTTAAACATGATTGGAATGTAGTCATGAAAGAATGTCTTGTTCAAAAAATAGGTGAAGTTGAGAGGACGAGCAATGGCATCAAATATAAAGGATGCATATGGGATGAGAAAATCCATGATTAGGAACATAGGAGGCTCATGGAGGGTGCTTAGGTAAAAACTACAGTAGAACTTTGCAGAACTCTGTAAGACTGAACATTTCTTGCATCAACTTAACCAAGCATTTAAAGAGAGACAGAGAATAGTAATGGAAGAGTTCAAAAATCTTGATATCTGCTGGAAATCAGACTGCCAAGAATGTTGTGTAACAAATTCTTAATTTGCCCTAATGATTTAATTTTCCAAGAAGTGTAAGACATGACAAGGGGATTACCACTCCTGGACCTGATCCTCATCAAGAGGGGAAAACCTGTTTAGCAAGGTGGAAGGAGCAGAACATTAGAGGAAGTGATCATGTTCTCTTGGGATATGTTACACTGAGGAAAGAGAAAGCTGAGCATAATCAGATACACATTCTGGCCTTCAAGAAACCGGATTTTTAAAAGCATGAGGAATGTGTGACTTGTTTATAAGTTGATTAATGAACCAGAAATATTGGTGATTTCCTTGTAGATAAGTGTGTGTTCTTCAGGTACTTTGTTTTAGGGCAAATTATGGTATGTTTTTTTTCCCTTTGCCTGTGTGACAGCAGTGGGAGTTAAAGCCTTCAATGCATTGTGGTGGGGAATGTATCCGTCACCAGCAAAGGTTGTCTACCACTGACAACTTCCAAACCATGCCCCTATTTTATTAACATGTGTAGAGTTCATTCTAATCTACCTTGCAAGCTTGTTGTGATGGTAAGATGTAATGTGAGAACTAAGTTGCCTGCCATGAACTCCTTAGAAGTGCAAAGTCTAAATGTAATAAGTAGGTTAGTATTCTGGAGCACAACTAAAAAGTTTGTTTCCTTATATACTGTATAATAATTTTTAGTTCAGGAATTTTACATTATTTTTCAAAGTCTATATGTGGGTAGTAAAGAGCTTTGCGTTGTATGACAACCTAGAGAATATATTATACAAAGTTAATGGCATCATAACAAGAAAGAAAGGAAGCAACCTACAGGTTGTAAGTGTGTTTGTATATCTTTCAGCAGCTCTAGCTTTGATCATAGAATGCATAAACTTTTGATCATTCAAACCAAGAAAAGGTCATAGTTCAAAAATTCTGGGGTGAGTGTTCATGAAATAATTGTTTTTGTTATTCTTCCTCATTCTCAACAGTCTTCAATTTTCTTTTTGAGTTAATTCCTTTCTCCCTTTTTTTCAGGTTGCCTGTCACTAACCTCCAAAGATCAAGTAAACATCAAAATAAGTTTCCTAATCCAAGATGCCTTTCAGAACAGGACTAGAATTAACTGAAATGCAGAATATGAAAGTCCCTGAAGATGACAATGTCAGCAATGATTCCAATGATTTCACAGAAGTTGAAAATGGGCAGATGAATAGGTAAGTCGTTTCCTACTGCTCAAACTTTGCCATGTGAAAACATGTTGCTAAGAAAGAGTATTTCTGACTTGAAACACAGCTGGTGAATGATTCATCATTGTGTCATATGCCATTTGAGGAGGCAATTTGAATTTCAGACCCAACCTCTGCTGGGCATTGGCATTAAAAGCCAAAGGGGGGGGGGGGGGAAGAAACCATGGGTACTAACTTATTCGACCTTTAAATGTCAGTATAGTTAGTAGGAACATTTAGAATACAGTGTAACCAAAGAGCCACTAATTTAAATGGCCTGTTAACTCCAAACACAACCCCAAATCAGATAAATGGTGTGAGGCATCTCGGACATATTTAAATGGTTACTTGTATCCTCATTTAGCACAGAAAGTTAGTTTAGTGCAGAGGTGGTCCAATTTAAAATTTGTTGATCAAGTTTGTCTTTAACTAGAACTCTAGGACTTTGCGCACATTGTGTCTGCAAAAAACTGGTGTCTTTTTCCTTTGAGAAGACACATGCAAGAACAGCTGAGCTGATTGTTTTAAAAGATTCAGATAACCCTTGCAACACTTCTTTATCCTTAAAAGTTCTTGAAACAAGGCAGGAGCTCTCATCTTTTTTGAGAAATTTTTGTTTATTGGCTTAAAGGTTAGTACTATAAGCTTGTTTCATTTGTGGGGGGAAAAGGTTTTTTTTTTTCTTGTCAAAAACCCCACAAAATACATAGCTTTCTTGCAGAACGAGGAGTATAATTTTGTATTTCCCTGGCCTGGTATGCAAGAAGTAAATGAGGAGTTATATTCCTAACTAAAGGCTACCAGCTAGGCACCAGAGAAAAAGAAATATATTAAGACCTAAAGCATTTTTGTTAAACACCAAAACTGAACTAAGCTATAGGCCTCCCACACCCAAATCTGTACCTGGTGGGACCATCTTCCGTCATTTCAGCAAGGGAATTTGGATGAGATGTTGTTGTTGTTTTTTGTCATACAATGGGGATTCAGAATTCCTTGGGTGCAAATCACAAAGAGATCTATCAGTCAATTCCAATTATTTATGTCCATTCCATTTTACTGTTACAAAGACAAGCCACTAAGACTCACAGATGCATGCATGCAACTCTTCCTCAGGAGCAGTTTTGAATGGACTAGAAGCTTCTGCTTGCATTTTAGATGAACTGCAATTCAGTGTTATTTCTAAACCAGCATGGACAAAGTGCAAGCTGTGTGCTATACATAGCCCCCATGCCCCCTCATATTTCTTTCTCTCTTTTTTAATAATAATGATTGTTTTTTATCAAAAAAATCCCCTTTCCCTGAAGGCATAAGGACATCTTTGCCAGATTTTGGCCACCTGAGCTGTTTTAGTCAGAGTATATATCACTTCTGTTTTTGAAAAAGACCTCGTGGCCTAGACCAGCTCAAACATAGCCAAAAACATGCTGAAATTGTTTCTTGTGATCATTGAAGATTGGGAGGGTTTTTTCAGAACCTTTTTTAAAAGAAAAAATAGGGTTGGGGTGGGAAAAGGCACATTTGGACCTTTGAAGAGGTGCCCCCAGCTCAGAATACTGCCTACCACTGACTAAACACCAAATTATGGTTAATCATATATAGGGTTTCTTGTTCAGGTAGCATGTGGTCCATGCAGGAAGAGGCCCCACTCCAAAATGGCCTCATGAGGTGCTTCTCCCATTGCTTGGACCATGAACTATTGGTGGTTTCTTGAACAAGCCGACTTCATAAAGGACCATTTGGAAGTGGCTTGCTTCAACAAACCGTAGTCAATATTAACCACTGCTTGACTTGAGAAGTTAGTGTGAAACAAAAATGGAAGTGGAAGCTTCTGAAATCTTTTGTATTACTGTGCTGAAGACAAGTGTAGTGTCATTGATCTGCACAATACTAAACTATAGGTTAACCATATGTACAGATATGATCAGTGTCATTCTTATGATCAGAGCCTGAAGACATTACTGGGCAATGACTCCCAGAATTTCCAAGCTCTGGGTGTGATTTTAGAGATCTCAAAAGCTCAAAACTGCAGTTATCAAAATGACATTTGTATTGCATATAAACTAAGAAAATATTTGAAATGGGGTATCTTCTTTCTTTTTGGTCTTATTGCATATATAGAACAATCAGCTTTTGTGCTGAGCAGAAATCTTCTGATGATGATTTACATGGAGATAGCTGTAACTTCAGGCAGGTTCATTTCTGCACCAAACTACATTTTTCTATTGCAGCAGAACTACCTTCAAGCAAGTGTATGCAAGTCTGAATGTAAAGTCGTATGTTGCAAAGAATGTTCCTTCAGACAGGTATATGCTTCTCTGCTGTTTGACAGCATGTTCCACCATCTCCTGTTCTAAAGCATTATTACTCACAGTCCATATACATGATCAGGAGGAGAATGTCATAGCAACCCTTCTGGGACTGTCCAGATTCAGAATGCAGGTGCAGATTTGAACACTGCCTTGGCAAAACAAAAAAAATCCTGCCTTAAAGAAACAAATTCATGCAGAAGTACTATAACTATATTGTATATAAGCACTTAAAAGAAGCTCACTTCTGCTTATGTTCTTAAGTAATATTTTCCCAGGAGGTTTGATGCTATTTATTGCATTTGAGGTGAGCAAACTAAAAATGAAATAGGTCAATTCCTTCTCTGGTTCATTCCGAGTCAAAATAAAAAGTCTGTTTCCAATGAAAACTCATACCTTTTCTTCATACTTAGAGATTTGAATGGCTATTGGCTTAAAGGGTTAGTAGTATATGTTTGTTTTATTTGTTGGGGAAAAAAGTTATTTTTTACTGTCAAAAGCCCCACTACCTTCTCTTCATACTTAGAGATTTGAATGGCTAGTATATGTTTGTTTTATTTGTTGGGGGAAAAGTTATTTTTTACTGTCAAAAGCCCCACAAAATAACTTGGTGCCTCGCAGAACAAGGAGTATAACTTTGTATTTCCTTGGTCTGTTTCATTGTTACAAAATTCATGATTTATTTATTTGTTTTTATTCACTATGATAAGCTGGCTACTGTGAATCTGAGTCAGAATTGTGTCCTTAATAGATAAAGAATTTGAGTGCAATTAATTTGCTGATTGGTTTTAAAAGGGAAAATGCGAAAGTAGACATTAAATATTGCTTGACCTCTGTCTTTAGAAATATATCCTGTTGGATTCAAAGTAGTTTGATGAAGCAGAAAGATACTTCTGCTTATAGGGGACCCCCCAAATCCCTTACAATTTCTGCATCCTACTGCAGTATCCCATCCCACTTAGAATTCTCAGTTTTTGAAGGGTTCCAGGGATTGTGCTGAGGAGCCCTGTTAGGCAACCAGAATTCCACTAGTTTTGTTCTGGATCCAACCCATTTCCCCATTTTTTAAAAAAATTATTTCATGTTTTTTTACCTACATTTTCATGTCCCTAATCCAGCTAAAGTTACTTGTAAATGAGATTGCAGTCCTGTGTATACTAACATAAAATAAGGATACATAATGAAACCTCCTTCTGAGTAAATATGCTAAGGGTTGCTTTATTGTTGTAGAGTCCTAAACAGTGCAAATCATAAGAGAACTGAAAGAACTAAACTTGACTAATTTTAGTCCCTATGTTTGTTATGGAACATCCAAACTTCTAAGATAATCTCACATCCCAACTGATTTCAACAAGAATTATTTCCAAGTAAGCTGGCTGGAAAGTTCAATGATTTAATTATCTGGCTGTGGATCCAGAGGTTGGGAGTTTGAATCCCCCACTGTGTCTCAGAAGAAGAGCCAGCTTGTGCAGGCTTGGGCAAGCTGCACAGATCCAGGCCATCCTCAGACAAAGAGAATGGTAAAACACATCTGAATACTATATGCTTAGAAAACACTGGGAAGGTTTGCCATAAGCCAGAACTGATTTGATGGCACACAACTATTCTTAAATATGTACAGAGTCATGACCTTAAGCAAATTTAAAAGCCCCTTTGCCTTCAAGGGAAATGTGACCTGGGGTTAAATTTCTCCCACTGAAATAAGAAAAACAACAAAACTTTACTGCAAAAGTAAGCCCATTTAATTGACTACGGCTACAGAACCTGAAATCTTTCAGATGGTGATTTCCAGTTACTGTCAGCCATAGTCATCCAGGGCAGTGGTGAGGTATGACGAAAATAATTGTTCATCAGCTTCCTGAAGACTGAAGGATCCCAATCCTTGCTAGATGAAATTGAATTTCTAAGACATTTTGTGTATTCCACAATTCTGCTGATGCAGAAAGGCTTTGGTCTGCCAGATAGTGCTGGATTTCATTTCTTGACACTTCCCTATTGGTGGGTATGGGTGTGTTGTTGTTTTAACTTTTCTGCCTTTTTCTTCTTAAATTGTAAGCATGCAATGTCTGTTCTATGTTTTTGCATGTTATACAGTGCCTAGATTTTGAGGCATTTATAAATAATGATGATGTGCAGATATTGTTATAAATAGGAATGTGCTACAACCCTTTGTATGTTTTGGTGTTTTGTGTAGATTTAAATTAAAAAATCTAACTCCTGTAGTCTCCTTGATAACTAGAGAACTGCATTCATTCTCATTTGCTTATATGCAAATGATATCAAATGAACCTGTGAGATTTCTATAGGGTAAAGATAGTTGTTTCAGTCATTTGGCAAAGCAACTCATGGTTTCTTCAATGTAGTGGGATAACAGAGAATTAGAGATTGTTTCTTGATATGCCTTCGGTATATGGCATGATCCCTCACTACTGGAAGTCTGCAATGGATTGTAAATAAAGATGGGGGTATTTGTATACGAATACCCCCATCAGGTGGACATAACAAGGGTCCAGCCCTCTGGGGCCGGACCGTTCACTCACCTTCCTCTGTTGCCAGAGCTCCCTTCCTATCGCTCCTGAGCTCGCGGTCCGCAAACCACTCCTGGCAGGAAGCAGGAGGACGAGCCTCACTGCAAGGTCAAAGAATGGCTCATAGACGGTGAGCTCCAGAGTGATAGGAAGGGTGCGGGAGCTCATAGCAACAGCAGAAGGTAAGTGGACGCTCTGGCCCCAGGGAGCTGGACCCTCACTATGTCCACCTGTCCACCTCTAATTGTAAAGCCTTTTTTGTTGTTTAACATTCTGGAATCTATAAACTTAAAAGGAGGATAAGAATTTTAGGAACGTCATGTGATCTCAGTAACACTAGTCTTCTAATTATACTGTTGATTAAGGAGTATTTTCCAATAAGGATGTGCCATTCCATTTTTTTTCAGTCAAGCCCCCAGAATCCTCCTTCCCAGGCAGAATTCTTGGGGTTCCAATCTTGCTACCCTTTAGACTATATATAGAGGGTGCCTTCCAAAGAACTACAATAGCCAGGAAGCATAATGGCAGCTTCCTTTTTTGCATATTTTACAAGAGGAAGTATGATCAGAACTGGGCCATGCAGCCTCAGAGATAGTCCTGATTCAGGTGAGTTAGATGTGTGATTGTGTGGGATAGACTCCCCAGAAATCTGTCTGGGGAATTCTTGGCAAATTCTGGAAGTTGGAGTCCAAAAAACCAGAATGCACATACCTACTTTCCATACCACACATTAATGCAATAGAATTTGAGCAAGTCATTCCAAAAATCCTATTATGAAAAGGAGAGGGGAAGAGAGAAGGAGAATCAGAGCAGCTGGTGACATTATAGTAACTTCCACATCCTTTTTTTAGAAAAGCATAAAGAGGGCTTCTACCCATAGGCAGTTTCAATCTAAATGTTTGTAGAAGGGCAACCATAAGAGCTAAGGGAAGGGAACAACATGTGCTAAATGTTCATGTTTAGGCAGAGATGGCAAATATTACTTTTTCAGATTTGAATCACTAGAATACTCAAGCCAGCTACAGCCGTATTCAATCACAGCCACTGACCAGGTTATGCTGGAAGTAGTGGTCACAAACTGTAACTTTTCTCATCACTGTATTTAGGCTTAGTTTTAGTACTGAAGATGGGGGTGAGAGATTAAGTCAAAGAGGTTATGGAAGATATGGGTTTCACAGATGCTAACCACAGATCTTGAACCCATACATTTCTCCACAGTGAAGATGTATACGTCACCCCTATCAGAATCATGAGGAACAGGAGAGGCATGTTATTTCTGCTGCATCTTACCTCAGAGTTCTGTGTAGCCATCAAATTTATTTATTTATTTTATTTATTTATTTGATTTATATCCTGCCCATCTGGTATAATTATACCACTCTGAGTGGTATGTCTGGTGAACTGATAAAATCAGCAGGAGAATCTGCAAGAAATTCAGCAGTACATATGAGTTTCTCTTTCCAGGAGGAACCTGTGCTAATTTGGTTTTGCAAAGACAGTCTTAGAGACTAGCTGATTTTATCAGTTCACCAGACATATCTTATGGGAGGCGGTAGTAAATATCAGTTTCTCTTTCCAGGGGGAACCTGTGCTAATCTGGTTTTGCAAAGACAGGCTTAGAGACTAGCTGATTTTATCAGTTCACCAGACATATCTTATGGGAGGCGGTGGAGGATAGGAGGACCTGGCGTGCTCTGGTCCATGGGGTCACGAAGAGTCGGACACGGCTAAACGACTGAACAAAGACATATTTTTCCCATATTTGATATGAACATAATAAGGATTGTTCTGTTATAGGGTTTCTTTGATACACAGCAGTATGACCTCAGTCCCCCTTTTCATGCATACAGCTGAACTCAAGGGAATGGAGACAAATGTTCTGTGAATGTATGAGAAGAATGACTGAAAACGATTTCTGTGTTTTGTGAAATGTTTTTCCCTATTTTGTCTTTGCTACTGATTTATTTCAGTGGGTGACCCCTTATTATAGGAGTTGAGGCATATGAGCTCTTTTTATATGAGGCCAAGTATTATGGGTAAGGCAAAAAAAACTGCACATATTTTCTAACACAGCTCAGAAATTACTTGGGGAGAACTTTTCCCTTTTACAAAATGGCCAGATGGGAGCAATTCTTTTACAGCAGAATACTGAAAAGCTAATTATGGCCCTATATGTATTTTCCAGACTTTACCCATTCATTTCAGTCACGCTGTGTCTGTTTATCTCTTTTCCTGTGTTCTAGATCATGTGTATCTCCATTATTTGTTTACTTGAGCCCTGCCTTATTATGCAATAGTGTTCAGGGTAGGTTAATTAAAACAATACAAACTGACCCTGAAATGACATCAGACTTAGAAACAGTTACAGATCATAAAGAGCACTAATGGGTATTCCTGCTGTGCATGATTGTCCATTTAAAGAAAAAAAATCATTTTGTGTTATTTCCTTTCAGCAAGTTTATTGCAGATCGTGAGAGCAGAAGAAGCCTAACCAATAGCCATTTGGAAAAGAAGAAATGTGATGAATATGTAAGTTCTTCTCCTTGCTCTGCAGAAATATTCACTCCAATTAAGTACAGTGTGAGAGCTGTTGTGACACACAGGCAGAGAAGCATTATGGGGATTCACTTTGGTTTGTATTTTCAGTGTCAGTGTGCTTAGAATACTACATTCTCTCAATGTTGTTGAAGGCAATGTATAGTATTCTGCACCTCTCACTGCTACTCATGTTTTTCCTCAAAGAAAACTCACTAGGCATTTCACTCCTATTCCTCCCAGCTCACTCTGTATCTGAATAAAAGGCATACAGATTGGGACCAATCCTCTTCATATCCTTTAAGAGATATTGTTGGAAAACAGAACAAAATTCAAAATGATCTGGATCAACTTGAGCACTGGGCTGAAAATAACAGAACGAAATTCAGCAGGGATAAGTGCAAAGTACTGTGCTAGGAAAAACAACCAAACACACAGTTACCAGTTACAAGATACTTGGCTAAGGAATACTACACGCAAGAAGGATCTTGGAATTGTCATAGAGCAAAAGCTAAATATGAGTCAGATATGAGTGTGATGTGGCTACAAAAAAGACAAATGCAATTTTAGATTACATTAACAGAAGTATAGTCTCCAAATCCCATGAAGTACTAGTTCCCCTCTGTTTGGCACTGGTTAGGCTTCATCTTGAGTACTGTGTCCAGTTCTGGACAGCATACTTCAAGAAGGACACTGACAAATTGGAACAAGTTCAGAGGAGGGCAACAAGGATGATTAGGGGCTGCCCTATGAGGAAAGACAGGAAGAACTGGGCATGTTTAGCATTGAGAAAACAAGATTGGGGGGAGATCTGATAGCACTTATCAAATACTTGAAAGGCTGTCATACAGAAAAGGGCAGGATCCATTCTTGATCATTTCAGGGTACAGGACATGCAACAGTGGGCTCATACAAGAGAAATTCAGACAGCCACCTGGCAGATATCCTTTGATCTGTATTCCTGCACTGAGCAGAAGGTTGGGTTTGATGTCTTTATAGGGCCCTTCCAACATCATTATTCTGTGATTCTGACTTGCACCATCCTTGGGTTCATGACATGAGCTGTGCATTTGCAGATGCAAATGTTTTTTAAAAATCCAAAACATTACAAGTGGGGCAGGGAGCGAACAGGCCCTACAAATCAAGGAATGTAGTAAGCCAGCTGTGTGACCTATTCACTCAAAGTTGATACAACCATCAACCTTGTGCAGTCACACACATGCTCAATTCTAGTAATATGATGATATTCAATATAGAGTACTAAATGAAGTTGAGTGAGTAAACATAAAAGAATATTGCAGTATCTATGTATTTATTTAAAATATTTATTTTAAGGATTGCTGGATAGCTCAGTGGTTTAGGTATCTGGCTGCAGAGCAAGAGGTTGGGAGTTTGATTCTTCATTGCCTCCTTGACTGGTATTGAAAACCACTAGTGTCTCTTCCAGCTCTGCAGCTCTAAGACTGTTATTATCTAAAGTAATTATTTACTATATATGCCACTTTTCTCCTAAGGGATCCAAGGCAGCTAACAGTATTCAAGAAATGTTAAAAACTAAAAATAATAAATCATCACCTTTTCAACATTGTGTCTGAAGAATAATACCGGGAGCTCAAAAGTTTGGGCAGATAATTTGTACCCTTTTGTTTGGCCTGATAAATGTATTCCTATGCCATGGATTTTGGAATTTGTCTTATGGTGCTTTCCTCTATCCTTGAATAATGGAGCAATTATTCTTTTCCTTTTTCTCTCTTTCAATTAAACTTTTACAGATTCCAGGCACAACGTCTCTGGGCATGTCTGTCTTCAACCTTAGCAATGCCATCATGGGCAGCGGAATTTTGGGCCTTGCCTTTGCGTTAGCTAACACAGGAATTCTACTCTTTTTGTAAGTCATCTATATGCAAAATGCACCCTTTGGCACCCTTTTTGCTTTTAATATGGTCATAATTCATTTCACTCAGGTTCAAATATCCATGCCTCGTTTGTGTGGTGTTTTAATACATGGAGTAGACTCGATCTTAATTTAGTGTGACATGTGCATGCAATTTAAGGTAAACTGTTTAATAGTGAAATAGTAAAACGTGGTTTCTTTTTTCCCCTAACCTCTGTAGCACTTTCCAGTTCTCCCTCTGTGACAAACCTTCATGCAGACTAATCACATTTAAAATGCCCTTGCTTCTAATAGGTCGGTCTGCAGCCAAAACGTAAGAGTCCAAGTGGTTTTAAGAATGAAACATTTAAGATGTTCTTTATTATAACATAACAACTGGTAAAACCAAACAGAGGTCAACTAAAGTTGACACTAAGTTACAAATTAGCTCTCCAACATTCAGCCTTCCTCTCCCTGATACAAAATAACTCGCTCAAGTTACAGTCCACTCTTAAAATCCAACCTCCCTCATCAAAATACAATTTAATTATCTTGTTTTCTCCAGCTTTTCTTCACTCCACCTCCTGCAGGCTCTCCTGGATTGGCTCCCCTTCTGCATTCTTCCAACCAATCACCTTTTTCCCCCCTGCTGTTACTAGGTACAACTGGTTAGGGTTCCGTTATACCTTCTAACTCACAAAACTCACCTTGCATTGGACTTTAGTCTGAGAAACCAGATTCTTATGCATGGAATACTAGGCAATGTGGTCTGGTCTGTAGCACTTCTTCCCAGATTTCTAATCATAGATAGAACATCATAGATTGCAACACATCTCAGTTTTAAGATTTTATCTTTTCTTTCTCTGCTGGAGATGTTGGATTATTATTATTATAAATGGCATGGTAAGAACGGTAATTAGCACAGATGGCTACTAAGAAATGTTTAGATCTAGAAGTAAAAATGCAGTATTTAATGACAGTTTTTGGGTCTTGTACTTCTGTCACCTACAGTTAGAAAACCAGATTCTAATGATAATATATTGAATCTCAGCATTCAAAATGAGGGGATCCAGAGGGGAAAGTCCAGGATGATTGCTTAGTTCTGATATGTCACCAGACAGATCAGGGTGTTTATGTTTCTTGTTTGTTCCAAAACAGTGTACCCTATGACATTTGTTGAATCATGGAGTAGAATATAGATGTACACATTTATGCTGTGAACAAAATAAATTTATATTTTATCTTGGAAGCAGCAAGCAGTGGATATGGTAGATTAGACATACCTGCAAATGTTATTTTTAGAAACTGGCTGAACTGATTTCTTATACAATTTATAAAGGGATTTTGCAATCTAATCACTTTCACTACCTACTGGTGAATCATAATGTGCTCTCAAGTCAATTTTGACCATTTTCATGGTTTTCCAGGTAAGGAGTACTCAGAAGTGGTTTACCAGTCCCTTCTTCTGGGGGTGCCTTGGGACTGTACAACTTGCCCAAGACCAAAAAGACTATCTCGTCTCTTGGGAGGCACATTGGGGGATTGAATTCTCAACCTCTGGCTCTGCAGCCAGATACGTAAACCATTGAGCTATCCAGCCAGTTACATACTTTAGGTAATCTGGCTGTGGAGCTAGAGGTTTGGAATATGATTCTCCACTGTGCCTCCTTCAGAGTCAGCCTGTTTGGCTTTGGGCAAGCTGCACAATCCCAGGGTGCCCCCAGAAGAAGAGCAAGGCAAACCATTTCTGAGTATTTTCTACTGAGAAAGCTTTGAAAGGGGGTTACCATAAGTCAGAATTGACTTTGTGGGTCATTATTGTCATAGATATGCAGATGATACCACTCTGATGGCTGAAAGTGAAGAGGAATTAAAGAACCTTTTAATGAGGGTGAAAGAGGAGAGTGCAAAAATGGTCTGAAGCTCAACAACAACAAAAAACTCAGATCATGGCCACTGGTCTCATCACCTCCTGA